CAAAGTGCTAGGATTAAAGGCATGATCTACCATGGCAGGCCTTGCTCTATTTTTTAAAAATGAAGTATGGCTGTGGATTATTGAGTCTGACTTTTTGGGTAAAGAATTTCAAAGAAGGAGTTCCACTTATATTGTATGAAAAGGCAGCATTAATTATTCCAATAAGTTTGTTGTTTCTCAAGATGACCCTAAAGGAAAATAGTAATTTAGATATAAGAGTTCTGATGAGTTTTTTAAGAGTTCTAACTCCTTACATATAGAGGCACACCTGAAAAAGGCTGTGAAACTTTAGGAACTCTCTGCCTTGCTAGGAAGGTGGTGTGGAAACCAACCTGGGAGCCAGAGACCAGGAGCTGGCCTTGGATTGCCTGGTACTGATATAGGGTTTGGTAATTGCATAGCATGGTCAGGAAGCTGGGATGGCTAATGTGTGTGTGTGGGTCCTCTCTTTAGCTTTTATGCACATGTTTAAACATGGAGATTGTCTTCTTGTCAAAATTTCCCCTTCTGGTTTTCCTTTGCTATTTCTTTTATGCAGATTAATGTATGATAAAAGGTCTACATCACTGAAAGACCTTCAGATGAGTGTTTCTATGTGTGTTTGATTTCTCCAGTTTCCATGTTATTCTAGGACTGAATCTAGAAATAGGAAGTAAAGGAGGAAAGCAATTGGCAAGAGCATTCTGTAGGGTTTGTTTGTTATTCATTTATTTATACAGACAGACAGGGTCTCACTCTGTCACCCAGGCTAGAGTATAGGGCCACAGTGATAGGTCACTGCAAGGACTGAACTCTGGGCTCTAGCAATCCTCTTTCCTTGGCTTCCTGAGTAGCTGGGACTACAGGTGTACACTACCACATCTTGTTAATTTTTGATCTTTTTTGTAGAGACGAGTGCTTGTTATTTGCCCATTCTGGTCTTGAATTCCTTCTTTTGCGTGATCCTCCCACCTTGGCCTCCCCAAGTGCTGGGATTACAGGCATGAGCCATCTCACCTGGCCCAGATGGTTTCTTAAAGTAGGTGGATAGGACTGATTTGGACAAAGTTCTGGAAAATAGAGATGACGTGCATTATATCGGTTCACATGAACTTAAAATTTGTATCATGGTTGTCTTCTACATTAGAACGCAAAATACTCAGGCAAGGGCCAGTGCTTTTAGTCTTCTGTATTCCTCACAGCATGTAGCAGAGTGCAGAACGTACTTGTCAAGGCCCATCTGAAGAGTCACCTCTCCTCTGAAGCTTTCTGTGAGCCTCTCGGACAGAATTGTTACTCCTTGATTTCCATACCATGCTCCTTTAAACAAATCCTATGTTTTAGCCAGTGTGGGCTGCTATAACAAAATATCATAGAATGCGTGGCTTAAGCAACAGACATTTATTTCTCACAGTTCTGGAGGCTGGGATGTTTAAGACCGAGGTGCCAGCTGATTCTGTTCCTGGTGAGGGCTCTCTTCCTGGTTTGCAGATAGCTGCTTTCCTGCTGGGTTCTCAAATAGCAGAAAGGGGAAGAGGGAGAGAGAAAATTATACACACACACACACACACAGTGGCCATAAAGCTCGTGTGCAATTTAAAATAGGGTGCAATTGTGTGTGGAGAGAGAGAGAGAATAAGAGTGTGCATGAGCACATGAGAGCTCTCTGATGTCTCCTCTTGCAAGGATGCTGATCCTATTGAATCAGTCTTCCAACCTGGTGACTTCATTTAACTTTAATTACTTTCTTTCTCCAAATACAGTCACATTGGGGTTTAGGGGTTCAACATATGAATTTGGGGGAAGCACAACTTAGTCCATTGCACCCTGGAACATATTATGTGTGCTGTAATAATTTTTGTCTGTCTCTAGGAGACTGTGGTCTTAGATGCTACTTACCGTGCTAGGCGTTGAGGGTCATAAAGACAGATCTTGCCCTCAAATACCTTGTTGTATTTATTTTCTATTGCGGTTGTAACACGTTACCACAAACTTACTGTTGTAAAACAGTACAACTTACTTAATCTTACTAGTCTTACAGTATTGTGGGTTAGAAGTCTGACTCATGTCTCACTGGGCTAAGTGTCAGCAAGGCTGTGTTCCTTCTGGAGGCTCTAGGGGGAGTGTGTTTCTGGCCTTTTCCAGGTTCTAGAGGATGCCTGCGTTCCTTGGCTTACCCTCCCCTTTCTCTGTCTCCTAAGGCAGCAGGGTTGTATCTCCTTGTGATATAATTGGGAAAGATTCTCTGAAGGATTCATGTGGTTAGACTGGGTCCATCCGGGTAATCTAGAATAACCTCCCCATGTCAAGATCTTTAACTTACCACATCTACAAAGTCCCATTTGCTACTTCAGGCAACATTCACAGGTTCCACAAATTAGAATGTAAACATCTTTGGCGTGTGGCGGGGGGGGGGGGATTATTCTGCCTATCACATTAGTTGAGAGAAAGGGACATATAAATTAGTGACTTAATGTAATGTGCCAAGTGCCATAATGAAAATCTATTCAAGTTCCATGTATATGAAAAGCACAAGGGAAAATGACGGTTTGACAAATGTTAGTTATAGCTGAGACACTAGCAGCAAGGATGGAGAGGAGGAGACGGCTTCCAGGGTGGCAGAATGGGCATGATTGGAGATCGATGGGAATGAGGAAGACAGAGGGAGTGATGACTTCCAGATCTGGGATTGGGACTGGGCGGGCCTTTTGCTGAGATAGAAGATGTATTTTTACAGGGTTCTTTGGTTATAAGTAAAGAAAGTATTGGATTAGGTTAGGCAAAGAAGGGGATTTATTTTTAATGTAACTTTATGGGGGAGGCTGCTGGCACATCAAACTCAGGACACTCAGGACACGATCGTAGCTGGGCGTTAGAAATGAACTAGAATAAAACACCAGTGCCAAATAGAACTTCTGCTTTTCCTCTGCTCCACTCTGTATCTGTTTAAGATAAAGATCAGGATCTTTTTCATCTCCCTTCTATTGGTGAACATGTTTCTAACCGTAGTTGCCAGTTTTACTCAGCTGTAATTCAGTCACTCAGACAAAGGGCAAACTGTCTCTCAATTCCATATTCCTGGGAAAGGGCTTTGATTGGTGCAGCACAAGTCAGGTGCTCTTGTGCCACTAGTGCATTTGGCTGTGGTCAAGGCTTGGTTAGTTTTCTTTCAGGCTTCTCTGTCTTTATGAGTGTTCTGGCTACAACATGTGGTGGATGGAAGAGGGATTCTTAGAAAAAATATCCCAACCAGACATTTCAATAGAGATCCATTTCAGTGGGGAAGATGATGCATTTAGTTTTGTTTTTCTTCTTTTCCTGCTTTAAAAATATTGAAATATAATTTACAGTGAAATGCATATCATTTAATGTTTAGTTTGATGAGTTATGACAAATGTAAACCCACATCCCAATCAATATATAAAACATTTCCATCACTCCAGAAAGGTTCCTCATGACTCCTGCAAATAATTTCCAGCCTTCAAAGACAACCACGTTTCTGATTCCTATCACCTTTGAATAGTTTGGTCTATTGTAGAACTTCATATAAATGGGATCAAACAACATGTTCTCTTTGGGCTTTTTCATTCTCCATAATTTATCTGAGATTCAGCCTCGTTGTTATATTAGAAGTCTACTTGTTTATGCTGCTGAGAATATTTAACTGTATGTACTTATCACCTCTGTCTATTCATTCACTTGTTGACAGACATTTGGTTTATTTCAGTCTCCTTGTTATTGTGAGCATTTTAATACATGTCCTTTTAGGATTCAAGGGAAATTTACAATATTAAATGCTGGAATTAGAAAATATTAGTTCTGTTTTGAATAAATTGCATCTGAGGTACTCGCCAGACATTCAGGTAGTGAGGCCTGGGACCCAGTTGGAGTATAGTGGTGCAGGGGGAGACACGCTCCAGCAAAGTAAATTTCTGTAGTCTCTAGCCTTCTGTGGAGTTAAAGCCGTGGGAAAGTCCTCAGTCAGAGCATGAAGCATGAGATAAGAAAGTGCCCATATATTAAATCCTGAGGAGTACTGGTTGGTGTCAGTGAAGCAGATGAAAAAGGAACACTCTATGGAGGCTAAGAGAAGGATGGCCATTTATCTTTGTGTCTCTATCACCAGGCACAGAAGCCCACACACAGCCACTTCTCAATGTGCTAAATTTCACAGAACGGGTGCTCAGTGCACTGCTCTTGATAGACACTATGGAAAGAGATGGATAGAGAGGGCTAAGGCATGAGGAGTCTCACAGGCCAGGATCAGCGTGGTAGATTGAATGGGTGGGCCACAAGTAAACTGATAGCCTCTATCTGCCTTTGCTTACGTCTGGCTAGGGAGGACGAGTCACTAAACAGTTAAGTAAGGTCGCTTTACTAAGGGGCTTAGATGGGGGAGTCAGATTGAATTTAGACTCCAAAAGACTGGTCACCCAGAGAGGAATCATTGTGGGTTTTAGAGTAGAGCTTGACACATGAGATTTCGTTTTGGGAGGTGTACCTTGGAGCAGCCGCCGCCGCTGCTGCTGCTGGTGACAGTGCTGTGTTGTTAGCGGTGGTGGTGCCTTCTGCGGGGCTTTGGCTTGATAGCTGCTGAAAGGGAACAGCGCTGCTGGTAGATGATGATCACATGCCATTCCTTGACCTAGCATTGTAACTTTGCCTTCGAGCCTGGGCAGCAGAAGGCACAAGCCATGGCATCTGGCCGCAGCTGGGAGGCAGTGCTTGCGCGCCGGGGCTGCACTGCCGGGCTGGGAAGACTGGGGCGGGGCGGCTGCGGGGCGGGGCGCGGGCGGGGCTATCTCGGGACCGGGCCACGCCCCTACCCTCAGCGCAAGCGCGCTGTGGGCCGTTAGCTGTCAGGAGCTGGGCAGCGGGCTGGCGGCGGGATCCAGCGTCTGCGCCAGTGTCCGGCAAACTGATCCCGGCGCGGCTACAGCAGCCAGGACAGGGCGGCCCCGACTCCCGGCCAGGTCTTAGAGGCTAGCAAGGACCTGCCGGTAGCCGGCCGCTCAGGCAAGATGGGGAACCGGGAGATGGAGGAGCTGATACCTCTGGTGAACCGTCTGCAGGACGCCTTTTCAGCGCTGGGACAGAGCTGCCTCCTGGAGCTGCCGCAGATCGCTGTGGTGGGCGGCCAGAGCGCCGGCAAGAGCTCGGTGCTCGAGAACTTCGTGGGCAGGTGAGCGCGCAGGGTGCGGAGTGGGAATGCGGCCGGGGAGGGGCATGACCCCGCTCGGGCCGTTGGACCCCGGACAGGCGGTGGGAGCCAGAGGGTGGACTGGGGACTGCGGTGGAATGGTGGGCTCTACAGCTGTGATGTCTGTGGGGCGGGCGAGGTCCCCCGACTCTGGGCATCCTCCGTCCCCCGCGCCACCGTCACCCTCCCCCCCGCCTGGTGGCCCTTCTGTCTGCCTTTCATCCTGCGATACAAAGCCATTTCCTCCCTGTCCTCCGGTCTGGGAGTCCAGGGAGGGGGTCCGCCCGGATCGACTTCCCCCCACCGCTCGGTGAGCGCCAGCCCCGGGAAGCCTCCATGCGTAGCGCGCCGGGCGCTTCCCAGTCCCTTCTCTTGTTTTCCCGGCTCAACACCCCCCTCCTTTTCCTGTCACCCTCCCGGAGGCCGTGGGGTTTTATCCCCCTGAACCCCCCACCCGCCCCCAAGGAGATGCTGTCCCCCTCGCCCCGATTCCCCATCCTCTCAGCTGTCTACTGTTCGAGACGGTCGTCGCCTGCCCCTAGCTAGGGAGGCGGGGTGCGAGGAGAAAGAAATCGTTTGTTGTGGCGAGGCTTTATCCAGAGACGCTTCCCCACCATTCTCCTCCGGGGAGTAGAAGAATAAAAGGTGGTGTGTTTGCGTGTGCACCTCTTCACCCGCCCGAGGCACAGACTCTGCCGGGGGTGGACGTGGGCTTGTGTGGTCCAGGTGCCATGTCATTCCTGCATCATCTGGGAATTGACCAGCGTCTTTCTCGCACTCTCTCTGCGCCCCCTCCCCCAGCGTCATCTTCTCTTCCCTAGGCTCCGATTTGTCTTGCGAGTCTTCAAGATAACATTCTGAATCTAAATCGTAGTTACGTTTTTTTTTTCATGATTCTTAATACAGAAAAAACTAAAGAATTAATTTTTGAATGGAGAATCAGCATTTCTTCCACTGAGCAATTCATGAGGGATTAAGTTGCCTTAATGGCCTTGCCTGAGGAGCGCAGACATTTGCTAAGAAAAGCCCATATGAAAGCATTATGAAAGCTGAAATCCGTTTCTTAGTAGTAAACCAGGTAGAAATGTACGGTAGCTAAGAAAGGGGGCTGGAGAGATTGCACTTTATTCTTTTCATTTGGCTGGTTAGTGACTTGGGGTGCAGAAGGTTCCTGTTCCTGTTCCTTTTTTTCTTTTTTTTGTTAGTGCTTGGTGATGTGTAAAATTTAGAGCTGGATATTCCCACATCTCCTCTGGGAATGTTAGTATTCATAAAGTGCATATGCTTTTCCCTCAGATGATACTCTCTCTATTTTTTTCCTGTATGAACTGGAAAGATAAGACACCTAATAAAAAAGTAGAATTGCTGATTAGATTAGCTGGTATTCTTCAGGAATTCATTTAATCGCTTTGCCTCATTTGTACAATTTATTTTGGTTAATGAAAAAAGTGATGATCAAGAATTTTGCCTACGTCATGTCACACTTCTGGTGAAGTGATGGATGAATTTGTGTTTTCAAAAATATGCATATAACAGTTACTTTCTTTGATCTATTCCCAATGAAATTCACTAGTTTTAAAGTGGCATCCAAAGAGTCAAATTCCTTCCAGATATATTTTTCACTTTCCAAACATGAGGGCTTTCTATCATGATGCCTGAAGTGTTGTTTAACTCCTTTTATTTTGTAAACAGATACTTAAATATTAAAATTTTAAGTATTTCAGATGCAATTACTATTTTTTATGTTTTTTAAATTTCCTATAGCATAACTATGTACATTAATATAATCATGGGGTAGCAATTACTGTATTTTTATGTAGATTTCATATTTCTACTTGGATGAGCCTGTATATGTAAGGGCGTTGTTTGTGGCCAGAGCCTTTGAACCTAATGACAATTATGCACATATCTCAGTTCTACTATCTAGGTTTTGAAATTCTCATGCTTTTCTTAATACTATAATAAAATTGTACACATTTCCCCTCACTAGCTATAATCTTTTTAAATGATAATCTAAAAAAGAGATATAGAAGAGGAAAGCCTGAACATTTCTCAAGATAAAATAAAAATAGAGACATTAAAAATATAAAAATCGGAACACTTACCAGAATACATTAGTAATTTGTTGTACTTTTAAAACTTTTACAATGTCAAATTAAAGGATCAACATAGAGGAAAAAACTCGTTTAATATGTATATAGAGACTTTATTATCTGTAGTGGTGATACCTGCCTAGCAAAACAGATATATTAAGGAGAAAATTTAAGTAGAAAGGTCATTTGACTTTAATAAAGATTTCGTTCATTGAATTATTGAGGAATCTAATTTCTAATTATAAACTATCCTTAGGGAAAATGGAGTTTTCTATTTTTGATAAGAGATTGAGCCTAGATGGAAGAAATTGTGTTCATATGCTAACATTTTAGCTTTTACTTTTTATTACCCAGGAATTTTGCAATAAAGGTAAAATCCTTTCCTTTAAAGATGCAGCTTCCTCTTTTACAGGTAGTTGTTTTCATTTTAAGACTCTGGTCTAATTTGCAGTTAGTGAATATAGTCAGAAATGAGGGGTCATCGCCGTGTAAATTAATAGTGTTTGCTCGTGATTTAAGCTTGTTCTCTTCAAAATAATGATGCATTTTCTTAACCATCCACATTTAGTGGACTAATCGTATCTTCTCCTTCCAAATAGTGTGTTGATATTGATTTTTTGACGCCACCGAATGAATTTAAATGTGAATATGTTTACTTCATTAAACTGTAGCTGTAAAAACTGATTTTTGGGCGACAAGTTTGAGATTGTTATGAATAAAATGAGTCATGAATGAACTACTTGTTTGTGGTTTTCTTGCTGAAGTGATGAATTTACATATTAATGTGATATAGTGTGAGTAACCAGACTGTTGTTTTGGTTGTTCAGGATGAGATATATGCTGGCAGTGAGGGCAGCTTAAGGTCTAATGAATAGAAGCTGAGACCCCTGGTCTGAATATATCTATGGGTTTACTAGCTGGCTTGGATCTGCCTATTTATTGGTCTGGTTTGTGTACTGAAAAGTTGTATTTATTCAGCTGTTTTCGTTACATTATGTCCTCATAGTCATATATATGTATATTTACAGTGTAGTAATGATGATAATGGTTAATATTTATTGAATGTTTGCTATGTATCAGATACTATTGTGGGTGATTTTATAGGGATAATCTCATTTGCTCTTCATAAAACCCCAGCAAGTTAGGTACTCTTATGAGTTCTGCTTTACAGAAGAGGAAATTAAGATTTAGGGAGTTTGAGTAACTCACTCAAGGATCATTTAATTTGATTTAAGAATTCGGCCAAGGGTGTTTGAACTCCATAACCCATGCTCTAACACCTTTGTACCATACTTTTTGCTCCCTTTCTATTGAGGTTTACTATTTCCTCTCATAAATACTTTTGACTTTTTTCTTCCTGCCTATAAATGGTGCCTACAAATAATAAGCTGCTATATTAATAATTTTATTCATATTTATTTCTGGATGTCTACTTTGTCTCATTTCCTAGAGAATTTGAGATGACCTTTTAGGCAGAAGCACCATTAGAATGTCTATATTAGACATTCTTAAAGAGAGGTCTAATATATAAGTGAGTTATTTATTTAAGTGTGTGTTTAGAGTGCATATAATTTGTTTATGGAGGTGTTAAGTGAAAGTGGTACTAGTTGCTAATGTGCAAATGTTTTTAATGATATACTTGTTAGTTCTTCAATGCTAATTATATGGGCAGAAGATTCCACATTATTTTATTTTAGCCTGAGTGGTAAATTAGACTTTCAATCTGTTTACAAATAAAAAAGGTTTTGTGTTTAATGGGGACAAAATAAAAGATTTTTAAATAGGTGACTATAATGATGAGACTTCATTTCAATATGGAAATGTTCAAATAATGTGTAGTTATTTAGTTGTGAGTTTTCTAATGGTATGGCAACAAAGAAATTGACTTAATTTAATGATAATTAAAGTTTTTTTTTGAGGGAGAACCTTAAAAGTAAGCCATTCAATCGCTGTTGTTGAATAGATATGATCAAATAATTAAAAAGATTAAAAGTTATTAATATGGCTTGGCAATAGTCTAAATCCTTTCATTGGTTTCAAGAGAGCCTTTAAAAATTGAGGAGGTAGGGAGGTGTCTGTTGCTCAAAGGATTAGGGCACTGGCCCCATATAACAGAGGTGGCAGGTTCAAACCCAGCCTCGGCCAAAACTACAAAAAAAAATTAAGTAGGTAACAGTCCTCTAGTTACAAATGAGATTAGGTACAGTAGCATACATATTAGTAAAATTGTCTTAATTCAGAAAAAGGTCTGTATTTTGTGGTAGGATTTTATTAAAATACCAAGTCATCTAAATTAGTAAATATTTATTAAGAAATGGCTTATAGGCTTGCTGCCTGTGGCTCAAGTGGCTAAGGTGCTAGCCACATACACCTAAGGTGGTGGGTTTGAATCCAGCCAGGGCCTGCCAAACAACAATGACTGCTGCAACCAAAAAATAGCCAGGCGTTGTGGCGGGTGCCTGTGGTCCCAGCTACTTGGGAGGCTGAGGCAGGAGACTTGCTTGAACCCAGGAGTTGGAGGTTGCTGTGAGCTGTGATGTCACAGCACTCTACCCAGGGTGACAGCTTGAGGCTTTGTCTCAAAAAAAAAAAAAAAGAAATGGGTTATAAGTACTATAGTTATTACATACTTGAGTGATGATAATTAAAATGTGATAATTATTGAGAATCATGCTTCAGACTTCCCAAGGGTTTATAAATAAAGTATCAAAAACATGTACTTGCTTTCATCCAATAATAAAGTGGTGGAATTTGAAATCATGAAGATATTTTTGCAGAATTAATATTATATAATGTACTTTTAGGTTGTTGTAAATTCACAGTTGGTGGGAATTAATTACCATAAATTCTTAGATATCAAAGAAGCAGTGCAGCTAGGTGAACTGGACT